GTCATTATCATTTGCATCTGTTCCACCACCAATATTTCAATTTCCACCATTGGCAACAGACTTCACATTCAGTAATGTTGAGCATGTCGTCGTAAATCATATTCTACACCGATCTTGGTCCTAGTGCCAGTGGTGGTACTACACATGGAGATAGCGATGACAATGACAATGACGATGGTGGTGGTGGTGATGCTGAAGTTGATGAGCATAGATTGATTCATAGGAATCCATGTCAGGCTCGTTGTCCACTACGGTAAGGTATGGGTAGACATAAACATCATTAGTTTTTTTTAATCTTAAAAAAATTATGTAACAATTTAAAAAAATTATTGTAATGTTTTTTTAGTTAATCGAACAAATAAAATACAAAAGCTACAGTATTTCACTTCACTTGTCAAGAATCCCCATCAGGAATCAATGTCAGTTGGACCTCGCAGTTCGTGTAATACGAGGTCCATAAAATATCACGTTTGATGGGGTACGTGGACTTATATAAATAGGGGCCCTCCACAACTCTCTTTTTGTCATATTCTGTTTAAGTTATTCCAAATCATGTATATGTGGGGGAAATTTTATGGTTATGAACTTTATTTTTGGGTCTTCCGACTCTGTCGATTGGGATTCAAGCTCGTCTTCAGATGAGGACTAGTGGATAAATGAGGCAATAAAGTCAATAGTTGAGGATCATAAAAGTAAAATTGAAGAAGAGAATAAGAAGATGAAATGGAGAAGAATAAGAAGTACGAAGACTTACCAATCTGACGTAGCGAATGAATTCCAGTAAGCAATAAAAAATTACAACTGTGTAGTTTACGATTATAGTAAAAAAGTAAAATAATATATGAAAAAGATAGCCTTTTATGAGAAAAATCAATCAAATTATCATTCCACAATATGATAATTACTTGTTTTAATCGATGCATATACTTTGGGAACCATCATATATTTTATGAATTTTGATTTTAACAACACATTAATTTATTTAAATAATAATTTATAAACATAATAATAAAAAAAACTACATAAAGTTACGACTAGTTGAAATGAATAAAAGATGAGTCTATTTCCATTTCGTCGTAGTATGTAGAAATGTCTAATGTTAAGTTCAATTCCTCAATTATTTTCTCTTTCTCCTGACGTTTACAGACGTAATATAGTAGAACTGGCTCTTCCTCCTCTTGATCATGCGATAACTGAGTTACTTCTGCGTTACTTGATGAAGATGTTTCTTCCTTAAATTTTACAATCAACACGATATTTATACCACCGACATGTGTGTAAGCCCTATACATATTCTGAAGGTCCTTTGCATTTGATAAGGTCAATATGTAATTTGCTTCAGAGTCGGGCTCATCAACAGGAACTTCGCTTGTAACGAAGACATATATGCGTTGTAGATTTTTTAAGCTCTATTGAAATCAAATGATATATAACTCATTTTTATTAATCTGCATGTTCAAGGCAATGTAGAAATAAGTTCCAGAATATAACACAGTTGTAGAAAAAATCTTGCCATTAAATATTTTTTATGAAGATATACATCCAACACGGTTATCATATCATTTATATAGATAAATTTAACTAACCTCATGCCTTACAGATCACGAGGTCCATTGACATGTCAAATCAAATGTGTACACTAGGGGTACTTCCACGTCAGGAATCTCTGAGGACCTCATGTTCTGTAGAACGATAGGCTTTTTCTAGGTCAGGAATCTCAATGCAAATAGCATTTTGCAGACCGCGTGGTCCATGCCTATATAAGCATTGTCTTTTGGTGCCATTGTCTTCTCAAGTTTCAACATGAGTTTAACCCCGTTTATAAAAGGCATCATTTTCTAGTGATATTCTAATGTAGAACGCGGGGTCTCTACTTATAAGGGGCTCATCTTCTAGTGGCACAACTTGGAACGAAACTTAGAGATCTTTATGCCAATATCAGTGCTAAAAATTATGCCATCAGAAGTGAATGCCTTTTTATAAGGATATCGTAGAAAAAAATCTTTTGCAAGGTCCTGGGTAAACCTTAGTCAACACGAGTAACTTGGACTTCTCGAGAAACTTATCGTTTCTAGAAATACATCCTCTTCTGGTATTAATCATGGTCGTAAATTCAAACAAAAATGTCATTAGAGGTTGTTTATTGTCGTTGCAATCGTGGGCGTAGTTTCGAATTATGTTTTTATGCCCAATTATTCTTCCATCAAACATGCCTTTCTAATGTAGAACGTTCTTCTTCCTTGAAACATGGCCTTCTCGAGAAACTTATCGTTTCTAAAGAGGCATCTTCTTCTGGTGGCATCCTCTTCTTATTGCTTCTAACGCTGATATGACAAATGACACACCTCCACTCAATAACTTAAGGCTTCCCTCGTATATAGTTATGTACTATAATTATGTAATTATATTTTTTTGGTATTGAAATTTAGGTAATTTGAATTGTGCTTTTTCATTGTACTAATTTTGTAATTAATAAAATATATTCGTTAGTTTTCAGTTTCTTTTAGTTTCGAACAATTTTCAACGCGATTTTTACACCGTTTAGAATGTCTCGTATGTACCGATACTTACCTCATTTTAAAAATAAGTACCAATACCACACCTCTAATATTATAAATTACGTAAATTTTCATATTAACTTCCTAAAAATACTCCTCGAACATGCCTATCAAGCCATTTTAGCTTCTTATTCACATAGAAAACCAAACTTTGGAACCATTTTGAACATGATTTTTATCCCACTTACAATGTCTTGTATGTGCTGATATTACCCTCAATTGAAAGATAAGTTACAATACTATGCTTATAATCTTATAAATTACAAAAAGTTTCAAATTAATTACCTGAAAACCCCCCTCGAATATACCTATCAAACCATTTTAGCTTTTTGGGCATTCACAAAACAAACATTGGAACCTTTTCCAATGCAATTTTTATCCCCTTACAATATCTCATATGTGTCGATATTGACCTCAAGTAAAAGATAAATTCAATACTACACCTTTAATCTTATAAATTACAATTTTTTTAGATTAACTACCCGAAAATACCCCTCGAACATGCGTATAAACACTTACAATATGGGTTGGAGATGTATATATCTCACGTCGCGAGGCTTGTTAAATACTACCTGCGATAAATTCAATTTCTCGTGCACCTAATGTTACGCGAAGTCGTTTAACCTAATATTAAATTGTATTATTTGAAAAGTGTTTTCATGTTGGATAGGTCTCGCACCCAATAAAACATGAGATCCTTAAATACGTTTTGTAGAACGCGGGTAGTCCTACGTGGATAGTTTGAGGGTATTTTTCCAAGTAATATTGTTTGAGAGTTATTTTTTTAATAAATGAATTTTTGGAGATTTTGTTTTAATAAAAACGCCCGATAACCCACACCTTAATGTAATTCACTTTGAATACCAACAACTTTAAGTTGCTTTAAATAACAACAAATAATCTCCGACAGAAGGGGTGGGGTGAGAAAGATTTAAGAATTTAGGGTTAAGGATTTAAATATAAGGAATTTTAGAGACTTTATGGATTGGGATGATGGTCGGTTAGGGGTGGTTGGCGACAAGTGTGTGGGTGATTAGCAATAATAAAGATGATCTAGACGACCGATGATAGCGACAGACGACATGGATAGAAGGGTTTGAAATTAAAGTTTTAGGGGTTTGAGTTTTTTTTATAATTTTAGAAAAAAAATAGTTTTTAAATATAAAAAAATATGTTTTTTTTAAAATAAAATTATCTGAATGCAACACGTGAAACTTAATAGACTTTTTTGAACTTCGTTACAATCAAAACACTTAAAATGGTAATGTTAGACACTTGGATTGACTATAAATAATCTAGACATCTAAATAAGAAAAAAGATATAGTTTAAATACTTATTTTTATATTAAACCTTTTTTATTGACATATATTCGAAAAAAATTATGTTTGTTCTCAAATTCTCATTATACATCAGAATTGGCAGAGCCGAGTATAGGGGAGCACCCTGAGTAATAGCTTAGGCCCCCCACTTTCTACTTTAATTAATAAGGGTCCCATTTTTTTTCAATTTTATAAAATAGTCCTCATTTTCTACCTTAATTATTAAGGGTTTCTATTTTTTTAATTTTATAAAATGGTCCCCATTTTCTACCTTAATTATTAAAGGTCTCTATTTTTAAATTTTATAACGTAGTCCCATTTTCTACCTTTATAATTGAAGATCCCTATTTTTTAATTTTATAAAATTGTCTCACTTTCTACCTTTATATATAGGGCTCTTAATTTTTTTTAAATTCCATAAAATTCTCAAATTGTCATCTTTTTCTTTATCTCTTTTATTAATTCATTCATCTTTGAATTAAATCCAACCATATTTTTCTTTCTTTTCCAAATCTCATTCTTCAATTTATCAAATAACCAACTCTTAGTCTTCTTTAATCTTAATCTAATGGTAAAACAATATACTACTATTCTTCATTTTTTATTTATTGTTCAAAGTCAAGTTCTAAATCATACTCACGTATAATTTTTTTTGTTCTCACTTAGTTGTATTTAAGGTGTTTTCTTAATAAAATAATAAAAATAATGTATTTAACAAAAATTAATTATTTTTTATGATTTATTAATATAATATTAAATAAATTGTTCAAAGGAATAGAATGTAGTTCATAGGATCTAATTTAGTTTTCGTACAAGGTCCAAAATTATCCAAGACAACTATGAAAATTAGGATGAAAATGTTTGAAAAGCAAAATGTTTCTAATAACATATATTAGGTGTGGTGATGAGACGTAATAAAACTAATTTTATCAAAGAAATGAATTTTATAAACCCAAATAAAAAGAAAGAAAGAGTTGTGCATAATTCTGAAGTTGAAACTGGAGTTGGAATTTAAGGACTTTCAAAACTGGGCCAATCAAAGAGGAAATATTGGGCTAGATTGAGACCAGCATCTTCTCACTTGTTTTAGGGTAAAACTAAACCCTGAAAGAAACGCCACTTATATTCATACACTCCGTGGAAGCAAGGCAACTGCAAAAGGCTACTTCGAAATCTCAACTTTTCCTCTCACCTTTCTGTAGCCTACGGTCTTCTACTCACGCCTTCCATGGCTGTGAGTTTTTTTTTTTTAATTTTTTATATTTTTTCTCTATTATCTGGAAATTTATTGATTATTCACTGGATTTCTGACATCGCAAATTGTTTTTTTGTGATGACAAGTTACTAGTGATTTCTAGTTTTATCTATTCTACACTTTGGGGTTAAGTGATCTAGATAGCTAAATTTATTTTATCTGTCATTTTTTCTTTATGATATTTGTTTACTGTAACTTGGCTTCTAAATTTTAATTTCTGTCTAAACGTTGTAGACAATACCAGTTAACCCGAAACCGTTCTTGAACAATTTGACTGGAAAGACTGTTATAGTGAAGCTCAAGTGGGGGATGGAATACAAAGGTAATTCGATGGTTTTCTTTTCTTAATATGTCTAATTACTTTTTATCTTTTGTTTGTAGTTATTCTAATTCCGTGCTTGTTTCTGTGTTTTTTTCAGGTTTTCTTTCATCTGTTGATTCATACATGAACTTGCAGGTGTGGCATTAGTAGATGTAAATAGCATAAAAGACATCAAAATTACCATGCAACTAGGTCACTTGTTTTTTTGGCAGCTTGGGAATGCTGAAGAGTATGTCGATGGACAGTTCACTGGAAATTTAGGCGAAATTTTGATCAGGTGATTTATTCCAAAAGCTAGATTGTTCTTCCTTGCATTTATGTTAAATCTTTATATATTATTTGGTTGTTTTCTTACAGAATATTTCCTGGATAATGTGTTGTTTTCTTGTAATTCTGTTCTAAGTAATACACTAGTTTATGTACCATGAGCTTTCCCTGCACTGGCTTTAATGATAAGTAGATATTGTCACTTGGGGTTGCATGTCTGATTTGATCGATTACTAAAGACCAGAAGGTCGACATCAATTGCTGATTTGTCATCCCTTCAAAGGTTTGACAGAAGCATCTACTACGTAAAACATCCTTTTTCGAAAAAAAAGAAGAAATTATTAACTTGTTACCATAGGTTGTCTTTGCTGATGTGTCCAAAAATTGCATGTTGTGGCTGACTCCTGTTGAACTTTATCTGCCAACAAACACAAGTTCTAAAACATTGTCCAGGAAAATTAGATTATATGTTTTTTGTGTTTAGAAAAGAATGCAGTGAATGTTTTTTAATTAACTGATAACATGTGAACTATTGTGCTACAGATGCAATAATGTTCTCTATCTTCGTGGGGTACCAGAAGATGAAGATATAGAAGATGCTGATAAGGATTAGACTGGGTCACGTATGGTCTAAAAAGAAGCTTTGGACGTTACATTAAGGGCTGCTGTAACTTTTGGTTATAATGGTTGAAGGTCAGTATGTCATTTGATCTACTAAACAAACTGCTGCGTAGTTAACTGTGCTTTGTTAGACTGCTCGTGCCAACTTTATTTGGAATATTGTATCTTTAGGATTCGTAGTATATGTAGTGTGGAGAGCAGAAATGAATTCTCTTAGGTGGTTTGTTATTCTATTTCAAGTGAGATCGTTGGTAGTGTTTGTTTTTTTTTTATTTCTCTTCTCTCTGTGTATTTCTGTCTCTTTTCTCTGTCTCCCTCCTTTTTTTTCTGCAGGTTCGGGTGGTGGCTTTATAGCCACCACCGGTGTGGTCATCGGACCGGTCCGAAGAGTGGGTTTCGGTGAGTCACCGGACGACCAGTGGTGACTCACCCCTTAGCATGGCGTGGACGGCTGGCGTTGGAGCTTCTGGAGCCTTTGGTTGGGACTGGCAGCGGTGGAGGCGGCGAGAGCAGCAGCGGCGGCGCGTGGCCCTAGGGTATCATACCCTAGGGTTTGTATTTGGAGCCATCTGGACCGTGGATCTTGCCAGATCCAACGGCAGCAAGCTGAGGCGGCTGGGAAGATGGAAACCCTAATCTGTTAGGGTTTGATGGGCCATTGTAATTGGGCCGGTTGATGGGCTTGTATATTTTTTATTATTATTTATATATGTATTTAATAATAATAATAATAATAATAATAATAATAATAATAATAATAATAATAATAATAATAATAATAATAATAATAATAATAATATTTATAATAATTATAAAAATAATAATTATAATTATAATAATAAATAAAATAATATGGGTAAAAAATTAGTATCTTCATTATTGATCCCTTTGATTTTAGTGTTCAGTTGTTAACTTTGGTTAATCCTTTAACAGAAGCATCACGTTACAAAAAAAAAAAAAAAATTAAGAAAATTCCACCTTATTCTTCTTGCTCGAACTTCTGGATTTATGTTTTTCAAGTAAACAAAACAAAGTTTTATTTGAAAGAAATGAATCCCATTAAATATGGTTTCCATCATCATCTTCAACAACAGTAACTCGTGACTGATGACAATGATTCTTCTTCAGTTTTCTTCATTCCCAATTCCTAGAAGCAACAACACAATATGTTTGTTCTTACCCTTTACATTGAGACCAGTTACCCATCAGCTTTTTCAGCATCATCAAGCTCAGTTTCAGGCATTTGTCACCCATGTGTTTGTTGAAATGTTACCAGGAAACCTTTAAACAGATATGAAGATAGGCAGTGTAGTGGAAACAACAAGGTTTCTCAATCCAAAAATGAGAGAAGCAAGAATTTGATCATAAATATAGACTCTTTGGTGAGCTTGAAGCAATTTATGGGCATGGAAACGGTGGAGGAGAAGTTGCTTAAACTGGTTCTAGGTCTGCTCTAACTGGGGAGAATTCACTTGCAAATGTTGCCATCTCCATGCCCTTAACCGAGTTTCTTGGCCATAATAAACTCATACAAAGTCGAAGCTCCGGTGGTCGTTAGGAACCCCAAAATGTATCCCTGTTCAATTCGTTTGTGAGATGATCGCCGCTCATATGCATGGCTAGAACGTCGGCTCCGATCGTTAACAGAAACACGATGTTTAAGGAGTAAGAAGTGAACTTTTGCTGTGAAAGCCAACTTTGAGGCAATGACTAAGGATAAAGTCGAAACCGGAAGACGGGCAACCCCATAGGCGTAGAGGTAGTTGTCAAAGCCAATGGGGATTCGGATGACAGCCGAAGTAAGGATCAAGTAGGGTTTCATGAAGAAAAAGTTTGTTTTGAAAACTGGTTTGAGTCCTTGAACGATGAAAGTAAGCACAGGCGATTGGGAGAAGGATGATGGAAAAAGCACCAGTCTCGAGCCAACTCAAGAACCAAACTCGTTTACCGCCATGGATGAAGTAGAGGCACATGATAAGTGGACCGACATAGTTGCTATAGAAAGGATGATGTAATTTATTATTAGTAGAGCTTTTCTCATAATATTAGTGTTTGATTTAGCTTCCTTGTTGACCTCCATGGACTGATATCAGAAAAAAAAGTGGTTGAAAGAATTGATAAAGAGAGGTCAGTGAAAGAGGAATCATGGAGGCGACAAGAGGTTGAAAGGCATAATAGAGAAGCCATTGCAAGAGCACATGAACAAGCTCTAGCTTCAAGTAGAGAAGGAGAAGGAGAAGGAGAAGGAGAAGGAGAAGGAGAAGAAGTTAACCGGAGTTAACGGCTGATAGACTAAAATCGAACGAATCGATAATGTTAGGAATCATAATGCACGAATCGACATCGTTAGGGACCATTTACCCTTCATTTTTAAATTGGTGACAAAAGTCGGTTAAACCGAAAATAAAGGGACTATTCGCATAGTTTACCCAAAAATCAAATGTGTTGCACATCATATGTGATAATTAAATGATAAATTTATTAATGATTGAATCTATAAATGCTCGACTTTTTTTTATGTAAATATAGATATAGTTACCCGGGATCAATGTCTAAACTAACTAATTGAACTTGTGTTGTAACTAATTGCAGATATTGGTAATGTCATTTTTCAAATGTAGTTGTAGAATGCAACAAGATTACATTCATATTTAATTTAAAATATCATAGGCGTTTTCTACTTTAGTTATTTTATTTATCGTGTTCACCTTAAAATTTTATTTATCTCTAATTTACATAAAAAATTTACGTAATTAATATACATTTGCCCAGTCTTAAAAATAATTTTAAATATACCAGTATTATCTAAAGAAGAGGGTCTCGATCACTTTCTACATCAAGAAATAAAGTGGTTTCGCATGGAAATGGCATCCTCTAATATCAAATCAAATTGCTTAAAAAGCAGAGTCTTGAGTCTCATCTACAATTGTCAAACATTTTCAAGCAAAACAGGTGAACCAAAGAAGTAGCTTCTCTAAATGCCTAAGCAATTGCTTAAGTACACAAGATTATGTTGTTAACTTGGTGCCATCAATCTCCCAAGGTTATAATATCAAATCTAAGTTATCTTTAAAAAAAAATTAGTTGTAGAATATTTCGATGCTATTGAAAGTCATGCAAGTCTGGCAAGAAAAAAGATAGAGAATTATTAGACTATGAATTATTATCAAGTATATTCATAGTAGAGTTTTCTTTGTTTCGAAATTTTACAAATAAAGTTATAAATTTCGTTGATTATAAATAAAATGGTGAAATAAATTCTAAGAAGGAAAATGATGATGATGTAAAATAATATCTATTTTAAAAGTAAATATTTAATGTCGTATCTGCATTTTAAAAGTATATTCATAGTAGAGTTTTCTTTATTTTGCTTTTGGAATAAATATCAAACCACCAAATAGGGGCTTTAGGAGTTAGCAACGCTTTCAAACTTTTGTCGTGCTAATTTTTTTAAATGTTTTCATGATAACATTTATTTTGTCTTTAATCTGAACAAAGTAATTTACACCAGAACATACAAGGAACAGGGGGAGGTTCCTCCCAGGGTCTACGAATAAGTTGAATAAGCAAACAGTTGAGATTCATGTATGTTACGTGAAACATTTTACAATATCGACACTTTATAGGCGCTATTATTGTTCTCTTTTAAATTCCATATGTGTCGATACTTATTTCAATGGAATCGACACTTTAAACATATTAGGGAGCGCTTTACTGGTTTTGTCATAATGAAACCGGTTTGATCATATTTTTACCTATTATACTGTTATGGATTGATACATTTTTTTTGTATCGATACATACCGACAAGCTAAGTTTGCCGATTGCAAAATTTTTTAATATTTCTTCATGATTTCCACCTATAACATTATTATTTGTCAACATTTCCGGTAGCGTTAAACCGAATTTGTTAAATATCTTTTAATGTATCCGGTAACGCCGTATATTAACCGTATATTAATCCGCCTTTCCTGAGACAACCCCATAGATACCTGCCGCTCATCTACAGATTTTTCACCATGCTCTCAGCCTTTGAGCTGTATAGTTACCCCTGAAATGAAATACCCAGCAAAGTTGGTTCACCCACTTCCAAAAACAAAAACCACCACCCAAAAAAAAAAGCTCCCTAGCATTGGAGTATAAAATAGTAAAACGGGAGGCTGGCCATCACATATCCAGTTAATCGTATTAACAAAATCACACACATATCCTACAAAATACATACTATTGCAAAATAGTGTGTAGAGTTCGGTGGACGTCTCTAGCCATGCCCTAGGAATCGCCACACACATATAGGTAACCTCCCTTAGAAATCATGTCCCCGATGTCCGAAGCCTGGAAAGAAGGGGACAAATGTGTTTCAGAGCTTCAAAAATTAAAATACTGGTGGGAGATTAAATCGTACTAGTCAAAAGGAAACAATTTCCAGAGGCGTCTATCCCACTATCCATGGTAGGTGAAATATGTCCAGTACCTTCTCCATCATTTTATGTTGAACATATTCCTTGGTAGGCCCCTCACGTGAAAAAGGCAACAACCAGCTCAGAAAGAGCACCACTGTTCACGAAGTTATTGAGCTCATCTTCATAAATGTAATCCTGAAAACAAAGTGCATTTGAATTAAACTTCGTAGCTTAATTACAAATGTATCCCTAAACCCACTGGAGATATACATCTAATCATAGGACTGGAAAGTGCATGACTTACCATTTGCCGGTTTCTGCAGCCAAAGAACAATACAGATGGACCCAGTTCAGAGCCAGCTTCTTTCAGGGCAAGTCTTTCCTGAAAAAGAAAAAAAAATTAATTTATAAATTTTGCTCAAACATGATGAACCTTGCAAATATGACGAAACCTACCTGAAGGAATCCCTTGAAAGGACCACTCCAGTACCAGGGCCAATCATAATAATCTTTAGTATCTGAAGGAAGTTTAAAGTTTGATTGCCTGACAAAAATGGTTGCCCAGTTGCAGTCCTGGCTTTTCTCCAAGGTTACAACATTTTGGAACGACAGAGGGCAAATGGGAAAAAACCTATATTATTACTAATATTTAATTGAAAGAAATTTTGCGTTATTAGACTAGATAAAATAACTGATGCAAATAGGTTATCAATCAGGAAGCAGATATCATTTATCTCCCTGAAAGTAACTTAAAAGGTTGACTTCTCTTGACCACATAAATGAGTACCTTCATCCAAGTTGAACAAACTCCTTTGTG